ATCAGTCGTACTTGTACTTCTCACATATGCGCACTCGTTTTGAATGTTATAAAATCATATCATGTGGCAAGTATCTCATCTAGAAGAGTGACTATGTTGTATTGTACTTACTTACGTACAAGGAAGACTGATTTGCTAACAATTGGGAAGGTATCCCTGGTAAAATGTGAGTCAATGATAATGATTTTCATATGCTAACTATCGTTTTGAGTATAGGACTATAGACTAGACTATATTGTAGTCTAGTCTAGGACTACAGACTAGATAAAATTCAGGACTATAGCATAGACTATAGCCAGGACAATCAACAAGATTATAGTAGGGACTATAGACTAGACTATAGTCAGGGTAATAGACTAAACTAGCCAGTACAATATACTAGACTACAGGCAGGATAATAGATTCGACTATATATAGTCAGGATATAGACTATGCTGTTGACCACAGTCAGGACTATAGACTACACTATGTTCAGGACTATAGACTACACTATAGTCAGGTCTATAGACTAGACTATAGTCAGGTTTATAGTCTAGACTATAGTCAGGTCTATAGTTTAGACTATAGTCAGGAATATAGACTAGACTATAGTCAGGACTATAGACAGGACTATAGACTAGACTATAGTCAGGACTATAGACAGGACTATAGACTAGACTATAGTCAGAACTGTAGACTAACCTGTAGACTAGACAATAGTCAGGACTACACCATAGTCAGGACTATAGACTACACTGTAGTCAGGACTATAGACTAGACTATAGTCAGGACTAAAGACTAGACTATAGTCAGGACTAGTTTATAGTCAGGACTATTGACTAGACTATAGTCAGAACTATAGACTAGACTATAGTCAGGACTATACACTAGAATATAGTCAGAACTATAGAATAGATTATAGTCTGGCCTATAGACTAGACTATGTCAGGGCTATAGACTAGACTATAGTTAGGACTACAGTCAGGACTATAAACTAGACTATATACACTAGGCTGTTGACTACAGAACTATAGTCTACACTATAGTCAGGACTATAGACTAGACCATAGTCAGGACCATAGACAGGACTAAAGACTAAACTATAGTCAGGACTATAGACTACACTGTAGTCAAGACTATAGACCAGACCATAGTCAAGACTATAGATTAGACTATAGTCAGGACTATAGATTAGACTATAGTCAGGACTATAGACTAGGCCATAGTCAGGTGTATAGTCTAGACTATAGTCAGGACTATAGACTAGACTATTGTCAGGACTATAGACTAGACTATAGTCAGGACTATAGACTAGACTATTGTCAGGACTATATACTAGACTATTGTCAGGACTATAGACTAGACTATAGTCAGGACTGTAGACTAGACTATAGTCAGGACTATAGACTAGACTATAGTCAGGACTACAGACTAGACTATAGTCAGCACTATAGACTAGACTATAGTCAGAACTATAGACTAGACTATAGTCTGGACTACAGACTAGACAATGTCAGTGCTATAGACTAGACTATGTCAGGGCTATATACTAGACTATAGTTAGGACTATAGACTAGACTATAGTCACGACTACAGACTAGACTATAGTCACGACTATAGACTAGACTATAGTCACGACTATAGACTAGACTATAGTCACGACTATAGACTAGACTATAGTCACGACTATAGACTAGACTATAGTCGGGACAAAGAATAGACTATAGTCAGGACTAGAGACTTTACCATACATAATTAGGACTACAGGCTAGACTATGGTCAGGACGATAGACTAGACTATCGTCAGGACTGTAAATTTCACTATAATCATGACTAGACTATAGTCTCAACTAAAGAAATGTCAATACAAAATATATGTCATATATATCCATTTTTTTAGCAATCTGGCTGCACGGATACCTTCCTCTAATCTAAAGTGCTCTGATATGCAAATATCTACAATCGTAATAACAAACAAAATGAATGATGTCCATATATGAAAAACATTAAAAATATTTGGTAAAAATAACTATATTTCATCTCAAAAACAGAAAAAAACTTACAAATGTGCGTAGCTATAAAATGCTTTAAAATGTTTTACTTATTTGGTAGTAATTTTCATACCAAAATTCGTTGCAGTTGCATACAAAATGCAAGCAATCAGGCCAGGCAGACTATTTGTGAGTCTTTTGCAACAACCGGATACTACTGCGACATATGCCTTTAAAAGGTAATAATTCAATTTGAATTTTTCTCGTCCATATGTTATTTTTTATAAAATTTTCAACATGGCAAAGTAAATTAAAATTATTTCATGCGTTTCTTTAGACATTGGAATTGGGCTATAAAGTCTTTTCGTATAAAACCCAGTTAGTAAACAAATATTGTTGCTGTTATTAAAAAATACATACATCTATCTATCTACATAGTATCTGTCTATTGATTATAAAATATATAGTTTGTATAGATCGGGCCATAGACATACAAGTGCTTGTTTGGTTGTTTGGACGCCTGCCACTTGTTGCACTGGTTCTACTACTAATTTAACTAAAATGCAACACAAGTGCATGGCAGGCACCGTTTCATGCCAATACATTAAGCTCCACTGCATGCTAACTTAGCTGAATATTTAAGTGTGTTTGACCAACTGGTTCGTTGTCTGCTGAATGGCTGGCGGACTGGCTGGCTAGCTGTTATCTTCCTTGTCTTTTTGCAATGATTGTTTAAGCAAATATTTTGATGGAAATTTTATCAGTTGGTCTATAGTTTATTTTGTTGTTTTTGTTCGTTTTCATGCAACCATATCAGTTGAATGGTTAATAAATTTTATAAATTTCAATGATAAACTACAATTTTCTGATACTTGGCTGGACCAAGTACAATTACTGTATGTATTTGAAATATCATAAACATTTGATATTTATTATTGGAAAGTAGTTTTCTATTTAGTCCATTTTATTTAAAAATGTATATGTATGTGTTTTATAAAATTGTAATATCGGTAATTACACAAATGTTTGACATCGATTGCGATTCATTAAAAACGATATTTTGTAGCACTTTTTTTATAAAAACAAAAGAAAATTTTATCGAAAATATTTGATAAATAAAATAAAAGTTGATGTTGTTACAAACGGTATAACAATTAGTATTACCCTTGTGTAGAGTGTAAAACCCAGAGATATATTTTCATGTAACGATACAAAGAACTTCTTATTTATATCGCTTTATTAAGCCACAGGTATAGCATCTTCAAAAGAATTCAAAATATGCGTCATCGTTTTGTCTGTTCGATTTGTTTATAATTTGGATTATTCCGAGACGTGGTATATATTTTGTTGCTCTAGACTATAGACTAGACTATAGACTAGACTATAGACTAGACTATAGACTAGACTATAGACTAGACTATAGACTAGACTATAGACTAGACTATAGACTAGACTATAGACTAGACTATAGACTAGACTATAGACTAGACTATAGACTAGACTATAGACTAGACTATAGACTAGACTATAGACTAGACTATAGACTAGACTATAGACTAGACTATAGACTAGACTATAGACTAGACTATAGACTAGACTATAGACTAGACTATAGACTAGACTATAGACTAGACTATAGACTAAACTATAGACTAGACTATAGGCTAGACTATAGACTAGACTATAGACTAGACTATAGACTAGACTATAGACTAGACTATAGACTAGACTATAGACTAGACTATAGACTAGACTATAGACTAGACTATAGACTAGACTATAGACTAGACTATAGACTAGACTATAGACTAGACTAGACTAGACTATAGACTAGACTATAGACTAGACTATAGACTAGACTATAGACTAGACTATAGACTAGACTATAGACTAGACTATAGACTAGACTATAGACTAGACTATAGACTAGACTATAGACTAGACTATAGACTAGACTATAGACTAGACTATAGACTAGACTATAGACTAGACTATAGACTAGACTATAGACTAGACTATAGACTAGACTATAGACTAGAACTATAGACTAGACTATAGACTAGACTATAGACATAGGACTATAGACTAGACTATAGACTACTAGACTAGACTATAGACTAGACTAATAGACTAGACTATAGACTAGACTATAGACTAGACTATAGACTAGACTATAGACTAGACTATAGACTAGACTATAGACTAGACTATAGACTAGACTATAGACTAGACTATAGACTAGACTAGACTAGACTATAGACTAGAATATAGACTAGACTATAGACTAGACTATAGACTAGAATATAGACTAGACTATAGACTAGAATATAGACTAGACTATAGACTAGACTATAGACTAGACTATAGACTAGACTATAGACAAGACTATAGACTAGACTATAGACTAGACTATAGACTAGACCATAGGCTAGAGTATAGACTAGACTTTTGACTATTCTATAGCCTACAGACTGGTCTATTGACTAATATGTGGACTACTTAATAAAAGTTTATAAATTAGAAAAGTCGATAGCAAAAAGTGCTCAAAAAAGTACTAAGAAGTACCATAGACTAATTAAGACACTAGTCTGTTGACCAGTTACTAGACTATTCTACAGACTAGCCTATAGACTAGTCAATCCATAGACCGCTTATCTTTCTAGCTTATTGACTAGATAATAGACTAATCCATAGACTACAATACCAAAGCACAAATCTATAGACCAGACTCTAGACTAATTAGTAGACTTATCCATAAAATCTAAAGAAAACAAATAAATTTCAAATTAATATATAGTTATCCAGACCTGACACTAACAGCGCTATAAAAAAAGCAACCAGTAACTTAAACACAACTACACAATCATAAAAGTAGTGAGCGAGTAAGTGTAAACGAGCATTTATATATTTTACACACATTTCGCTTTTATTGTATATTCTCGTTAAATGTTGTTGTTTTGTAGAGTTGTTTCGTGTGCTCGTATTTAATATAGAATTTTAACGAAACTATAGTTTAGTTGCGCGAGAAATGTCAAACACAGTGGACCGGCTTAAGTTGATCGCTGAAATTCGTAATAGACCACAACTGTGGAATACGGAGAGCAAAGAGAATAGTTCTCGTGTATGTGTACAATATATTTGGAAAGAAGTGGCAAAGAGTGTGGGGCCATATGGTAATATCTACACTTTATTAGGGCGCTAAACTGGTTTAGTTTAAATGATACTAAATATGTATGTGTATACAATTTGAAACTTTTCCTACAGCTAGCGTAGAGGAATGCAAACGTGTTTGGAAAAACTTACGTGATGCTTATCGGGCTGAAGTTAAACGTATAGAGCTGCGTATAGAAAAGGACATACGTAAGGGCTCGTATGATCCTAATAGTGATTATAGCAGTAAATGGTCTTATTTCGAGGCCATGCAATTTATTAAACACCACGACGTAGTAGAACTCATAAAACTCCGGATTCATCGACAAATGAACCGGTTAGTGGGGTAAATTCTGATAACGATGATTCCGATCAATTCGCTCAATTTCATAATATGGATAATATTAAAATGGAACCAGATGTTGATATGGATGCAGAAGTGTTTTCAGTGGATGATGACGACGATGATGATGGCTCTTGTAATCAATTGTATAGCGAACATCTGTTGAAACAAGCTGCACACCAAGTTTCGCCTCAAAAGCAACCTAAGGCAAGACCCTCTACTTCCCCCTTTAAAGGTTCCAAAAGTTCTTACGATCAAGTGCATTTCTTAGAAGATCTTGAAAAGGAAGAACAAAACCTAATGAAATCTACCCGTTTAGATATATCACATTCCAATGATTTAGCTCACATTGGCGATTCGGATTATAATTTTTTAGTTAGTTTTTTGCCTCAAATGAAAAAGATGTCCGAATTACAAAACTTACAGTTTCGTGCTAAAATGACCAATTTAATGCTGGAAATTATGTCCCCAACTATGTCTACAGCACCTGTTTCATCCTCCCAGTGTAGAAATGTTAATTTGAATAATTATTCTTAATTTTCTTAGCTTCGATTTTAAGTTATATTTTATATATATTTTTAAATATATTTATACTTACTTTTATATAATTAAAAGAGTTGTTTTCTTCTAATATTTGAGGGGGGGCGTGGTTTTTGGCTTATCGCTTTAATAAAAACTTTTTAGGGGAATTTGTTAAACGGAATAATAACGCTAAAGAATCAATAAATGTATCAATGTCTTAAATAGAGAACAATATCATACTCCCCAGGCATTTTTTTACAACATATTAATGACATTTTTCCGATCACCTAAAATCTATGACCCATTAGCTAAATCTATAATTTCGTGCAAAAATGTCAAATGTTAACTACAAAATTTTAGCGTGTTTACATACTTACAGTGGACGTCCACTAGTACGAATTATATAGTGTCAGGCCCTTTCGTAATACCGAAAAATTCGTATTATTGAACAACACATTTTGTATGTTTAAATTCAAATAATACACATAAAATATTGTATTTTATTTATTTTTGTTATATTTTTCATGAAAAATTACATAACGGAACAAAATATAATAAATATGTATTATTTTAAATAAATTTCTTGTACATAAACAGGCATAAAAGGACATATTTACGTACATATATGAATTTAATGTTTTTAAAAAGATGTGTGCCAAAGACAATTTGCAATTTACATATGTGTTCTAAAATGTATTAAAATGTTCAGATTACATAAAACTTTCATTAGAAACTTGAATGGAATATACCACAATTCTCTAATTTATAATTTTCTCTTAAAAATTAGAATAGTTATCCTTAAACCCATTGTTTGGAATGTGGAGTCACACTACTTTCAAAATTAACAGTTCATACATACATATGTATATAAATATAATTTTACTTATTAAAAAATCCATCATTTAACATCGATGTTTATTACATTGTAAAATGATTCTTACGGCTTTTACAATAACAGCACTTTTGAGGCTTCAATATTGTTCTCAGCAGAGTTATTGTCGGGAACTAATAAAATACATTCCTCATTGGCGTTATCATCCAATTTAATTTCTTCTCTTGGGTCATCAAAATTCCAATAAAATAAATTAATAACACTAAATAATTGTTGATTTGTAAATATACATGCAGTAAATTGTGTGTATAGGATTTTTAAAAATACAAAACACTTGTAATAAATACAAAAAAACTTCAAAATTACTGAGCTTAAGGTGAATGATACGGAAATAATAAAATAAAAACATAATAAAAACTTCATTCATACGTAAATAAAACCAAAATTCCCATAAAAAATGCGTTATTCGTACTATCGAACAGAAAAATTGTGACTTTATTCGTACTATAGAGTAGACAATGCAACAATTTTGCCATTCGTATTATTGGATATTCGTAATAAAGAGTATACGTACTATTGGACGTCCACTGTATATACATACTAATACCCACCGATTGAGAGCTATTCCTACGTGGGATTCTTAAAAAAACCTTCTCCTCGGGACAATGTTCTATGTGGACATCTGTATGTATTCCAGATTTTGTTTCATTAGCATCATAAACAGAATTTATGTATGGATTCATATAACTTTTGCTTGTGTTCTCTCTACAGTTCGTTCATTCGTTCATTTTTTTCTTCTCGTTATCGTGTGTGTGTATTTGTTGTTATGTTTTTGTATTTGAAAGTGAGTGTGTTTGTTCGTTATATTTTAACGAAAGTTATAACTCAGTTGTGTCACAATTATTAAACGTAATGGACAGATTACGCTTAATCGCTGAAGTTCGCCAGAGACCCATATTATGGGATTTTCACCGTCTAAACAGATCACGTCAAGAAATAAAAAACAAATGGCAAGATGTTGCCAGTAGCATGGGTGATAATGGTAATTGACAAACTCAATATATTAGTAAACAAAAAAAGTTACATTTCTATCTTCTATAACTAGTTTCAGTGTCGGACTGTAAAAGTATGTGGAAGCATTTGCGTAATGCTTATTATGAGGGCAAAAAACGATGTGGTCAGCGCTTAAGTAAGGATAAATCTATGGGTTTATATGATCCTGCAAATAAATATTATGGCAACACGCATAAGTATGCTAAACAAATGAACTTTCTCGAAAAGATTGTCAAACCGGAAAAACAAAAATTTCAACATGATTCTCAAACACAGGAATTATACTGTAAGTACCTATAGGAAATTAGAACAGAAAAGCGCGAGATAATTAAAAGTCATTGCTTCGGAAGCGGTGTATTGTTTATAGTATGTAGGAACTTAAGTTGAAATTATTTCTTACAGTGTTCTCAATAAGATCTACAAGTTCAAAACCTCAGGAAAGTGAAGCAAAATCATATACGAGTAATAATGAACATACACTATTAACGCATGATGATACCGATAATATTCGTGTAAAACAAGAGCCTAAAAATGAAATCGCAATGGAACCATATCACTTGGACCACAATGAAAGTAATTCTGTAAACTCGAACAACTTAAATGATCGCGAAAAAAGTGAAAAAGAATTTAAATCAATTCCTATTAAACAAAATAATAACATTACTGCCGCACCCTCGACGCACTATATTAACGATCCTGATTATAATTTTTTGATTAGCTTTTCTTCGCACATGAAATCAATGACTCCATTGCAAAATTTACAGTTTCGTGCCAAAATGGCAGATATGATATTAAATATTTTAAAGTCTTGCAATTCTGCTACTGAAACAAATAAGCCAGTTAATAATATACTACAACTAAAAGCTTTGGTTGATATTAGCGATCCAGATGGTAATTTCTTGATCAGCTTTATGCTTTATATGAAAATGTTGACTACATTGCAAAATTTACAATTACGATCAAAAATATCTGAATTAATGTTAAATATTTTGTCAAAAAATTGCACATAATTGAAATTAGTTTTAAGTTGTAGTTTAAGCTTTTTAATAAATTGTAAAGAAATTAAAAAGGAAAGGTTAAAGGTTACATGAATGACATTAAACATTAATGAATCTGGGAAACAATATCACCAGCTTTATAATTTCGAACAAGATGTTGAAAAGGATTCTTATGAAGAAGAACAACTAAAAAGTGAAAAGTGAAGAAGTAGCGGATTCAATAGATGTTGAGCAAAATTTTAAAATCGAGGTAGAATCATATTCCACGAATGATGAAGAAGATAGTGAAAGACTATGGATTAGAATCGAGAATTCGGAGGAAACTAAGAATAATGACGATAAAGAAGCTGTAGATATAACACCTAAGGCAAGACACTCTACTTCCCCCTTTAACGGTTCGAGCCAATATGCCCAATTTGATATTGAGTATTTTAACGAATTCTTTATCTGATAACAAACTTGAAACACAAAAGATAAAGATCTTTGGTTGAAGTTTTATCGAAAATTTTCTACAAAAAGATATTTTGATTGAACATTTTCTATAAAAAGAAAATTAGATAGAAAATTTTTTATAAAAAGAAAATTCTACCGAAAATTAAAAAAAAAAACTAAATTAGATTAAAAATTTTTAATAAAAAGAAAGTTTTACCGAAAAATGTTTCAAAAACAAAATTTAACGAAAAATTTCTTTAAAAGCAAAAATTTTCTATAAAAATAAATTTTATCGAATATTTCTATAAAAAGAAAATTTTATCAAAATTTTCTTTAAAAACAAAAATTTTTCGAATTTTATCGAACATTTTCTATAAAAAATATTCGAAAAATATTCTAAACATAAAAAATTCATTTTCTATACATATAGAAAAAGTTACTAAATATTAAAACAAAAAATTCTATAAAAACATTTTTGTTGAAAATTTTCTTTATAAAGAAAATTTTATTGAAATTTTCCTATAAAGAAAATTTATCCAAACATTTTTATAATAAAAAATTTATCGAAAATTTTCTTTAAAAGCAAAATATTATTTTAAGTTTTTTTATACATATAATTTACTGAAAATCCTTTAAAATTAAGATTACACAAAAAGTTAACAGTTGACAACACTCTACGCATTACTATTTGTTTACAACGAACGAAATGCAAAACCAAAAGCTAAAATCAAAATACAAATAACGACAAAAAATTATACAAAACTATACTTTTACGAGTTTGTTTTATTTTATCGTCTACTTTATATTTTATTTTCGCACATGCCAGCAGTAACATTTAAAAAATTATCATTAACTAAACAAGTGAAAATGTTCGTCTATAACGAATCTCGTATGCACTACTTTTATATCGCTTTGTTAAAATACATTTAAACGTCATCTAAAAAAAAACCAAAACACAATTACAATAAATATATTTCGCTAAACCGTGACAGAATTGAAAATACCCGTCATTGTTTTGTGTGTTCAGTCTGTGTGTTTTTGAGTTATTCCGAGACAACGTAGTAGGTACGTATTTTGTTTTTCTCTTTACTTAACGACAAAGTGCAGAAACAACGAGAAGTAATAAATCACAGAGATGGAAACTGTTAACAAACACTTTACTACTTAGATGATAATTTAGAACGCTTAATTAAAGGTAACTTTATCTGTATTATGAACTTTTGCTAAAGTGACCATAAATCAGTGAATAGACTAGTATATAGATTAGTCAATTGACTAGTATATAGACCAGTTAATAGACTAGTCAATAGAATAGTTCATAGATCAGTCAATATATGATAGGGTAGTCCAACTGGGCTAAAGATCAGCCAATAGACTAACTGGTCTAAAGGGCAGTAAATAGATTAGTCTATAGACCAGTCAATATACTATTCTATGGTCCAGTTAGTAGATACGTCCAAAGAACTATCAATGGACTAGTTAACAGGCTAATTAATACACTTCTCCGTAGAGCAGTCAATAGACTATACCATATACTAACCTATATATACTTATCCATAGACTAGTTAACATACTAGAACTTAGACTAAATAGTTAACATTCTACTCCACTGACAAGTCCATATAATAGTTAGTAGACCTACAATAAACCGAACCATAGACAAGTTTATAAAATAAATCAATTCATGGACTAGTTAATAGACCGTAACTAGTCAATAGAATAGTTTATAGGACATAGACTAGCCATAGACATGTCCGTGGACTAGTCCATAGTCTAAACTATAAACAAGTGGACTATTAATTTAACTAGTCAATAGACGTGCCTATTAATAGTCCACAGAACAATCTCCTATCTATCTATCTATCTATCTATCTATCTATCTATCTATCTATCTATCTATCTATCTATCTATCTATCTATCTATCTATCTATCTATCTATCTATCTATCTATCTATCTATCTATCTATCTATCTATCTATCTATCTATCTATCTATCTATCTATCTATCTATCTATCTATCTATCTATCTATCTATCTATCTATCTATCTATCTATCTATCTATCTATCTATCTATCTATCTATCTATCTACTATCTATCTATCTATCTATCTATCTATCTATCTATCTATCTATCTATCTATCTATCTATCTATCTATCTATCTATCTATCTATCTATCTATCTATCTATCTATCTATCTATCTATCTATCTATCTATCTATCTATCTATCTATATATATATCTTTCTATCTATCTATCTATCTATCTATATATCTATCTATCTATCTATCTATCTATCTATCTATCTATCTATCTATCTATCTATCTATCTATCTATCTATCTATCTATCTATCTATCTATCTATCTATCTATCTATCTATCTATCATCTATCTATCTATCTAGCTATCTATCTATCTATCTATCTATCTATCTATCTATCTATCTATCTATCTATCTATCTATCTATCTATCTATATATATCTTTCTATTCTATCTATCTATCTATCTATCTATCTATCTATATATATATCTTTCTATCTATCTATCTATCTATCTATCTATCTATCTATCTATCTATCTATCTATCTATCTATCTATCTATCTATCTATCTATCTATCTATCTATCTAGCTATCTATTTCTTTTAAGAAAATAAATAAATTTCATATTAATATATAGTTACCCAGACCTGATACTAACAACGCTATACAAAAACAAACAACCAGTAACTTAAACACAAATCCCAACGATTAAAGAAGAGAGAGAGTGAAAACGAACAATTATATTTTTACACACATTTCGCTTTTATTGTATATTCTCGTTAATTGTTGTTGTTTTCTAGAGTTGTTTGTGTGTCCATATTAAATATAGAATTTTAACGAAACTATAGTTTAGTTGCGCGAGAAATGTCAAACACAATGGACAGGCTAAAGTTAATCGCTGAAATTCGTAATAGACCACAACTGTGGAATATGCAGAGTAAAGAGAATAGCTCTCGAATATCTATACAAGATATGTGGAGAGAAGTGGCAAATAGTATGGGACCAGATGGTAATAACTACACTTTGTTAGAAAACTTTAGTTTAATTGATACTAAATGTATAAATGTATGTAAATTTCAAAATTTTCCTACAGTAACCATAGAAGAATGCAAGCGTATTTGGAAGAATTTACGTGATGCTTATCGGGCTGAAGTTAAACGTATAGAGCTGCGTATAGAAAGGGACTTACTAAAGGGTTCATATGATCCCAATAATGAATATGGCAGTAAATGGACTTATTTTGAACCCATGCAATTTGTTAAACACTTTAAAAGACGACGACGTAGTAGAACTTATAAAGCTATGGATTCTCCCACAAATCAAGCAGTTAATGAAGTTAGTGTAGATAATGATGATTCAGATCAATTCGCGCAATTTCATAATATGGATAATATTAAAATGGAACCAGATGTAGAAATGGATACAGAAGTGTTTCAGTGGATGATGAAGATGATGATGACGATGATGATGGCAATTATAATCAATTATATAGCGAACATCTTTTGAAACAAGCGGCACGCCAAGATTCCCCTCAAAAGCAACCTGAAACAAAACCCTCAACTACCCCTTTTAAATGTTCCAAACGTTCTTACGAACAGGTGCATTTTTTAGAAGATCTTGAAAAGGAAGAACAAAATCTAATGAAATCGACCCGTTTAGATATATCACATTCCAATGATTTAGCTCATGTTGGCGATTCGGATTATAATTTTTTAGTTAGTTTTTTTGCCTCAAATGAAAAAGATGTCCGAATTACAAAACTTACAGTTTCGTGCTAAAATGACCAATTTAATGTTGGAAATTATGTCCCCAACTATGTCTGCAGCAACAGCAGCACCTGTTTCATCCTCCTCCCATTGTGCAAATGTTAATTCTAATAATTATTCTTAATTTTAGTTTAGATTTTATTAAAGTTATTTTTTTTAGCTATACATAAATACTTGGATTTTAAGTTATATTTTATTACATAAGTTTATTTAAATATATTTTTTATAAAACTTCTAGAGTTGTTTTCTTTGAATTTCCCCACCAATTTGGGTTAATGACTCCTTTGCAAAATACACAGTTTCGTGGCAAGATTAAGTAGTCTAAATCTGCTACTGAATCAAATGGTCTATTGATCTGTATGTAAATCTGCCTAACAAATTATTTGCGCTTAGAAAAACACTAAGTCGACAATAAATACCAACAAGATAGCAACACTGACAAGGAGAAATACGAAGAATTAGTTAATGAGAAAAACTGTTGCCCGTGTTCGCTCAATTGTTATTGTATGAGTATTGTTGTTATAACTTAATACTGTTTGTGCAAGCTCATGTATGGTGTTCGTTATATTTTAACGAATATTTCAGTTCTGCGAGAACCATCGAGTGAAATGGATAGATTACGTTTAATCGCAGAAATTCGCAAGAGACCTGTACTATGGAAGTATCAACGTAATTTTGCACGCAATAGCAGAAAAAATAGTTGGAAAGAAGTTGTCAGTATTTTGGGAATTGATTGTAAGTTAATTTTTTAAATATATTTTTACCATTTTCGTCTCGTTTTTAATCGTAAAGATATTCTTACGACTTTTTCCAGTGAGAACCTGCAAAGTATTTGGCGATATATGCGAGAATGTTATCGTAACGAAGTGAAGCGTACCGAAATACTCATCGAAAAGGATATATTAAATGGTTTATATGATGTCAATAAGGATTACACCAGCAAGTGGGCGTATTTTAATGAATTAACATTTTTAAATTATGCTGAAGCTCAACCTAAGACTAATAAAGCAAATGCTTCTGATAGCGATCAGGAAGAAATTTCTATGGACAATGAAAATAATAATACAGATTCGGAAATAACTGTAACTAATGAACCAGTAGAGGATTCTGATAAGGAAGAACCATTAAAGAGCCCTAAACGCAATATGACAAGTCAAGGTCTAGCGGATTCAATTGATGTCGTGCAAGATATTAAAATCGAGGCAGAAACCACGGATGATGAAGATGACAGTGAAATACCAACTAAAAGGCTAAGACTTAGTAACGAGAATTCGGAGGAAACTAAAAATAATGATGAAGAAGCTGTAGATATAGCAATGTCTGAAAATGAGAACAATGTCACACATTTAAGCAAGATCTTAGAAGATCATAATGATTCAGATCAGTATTTTTTGATAAGCTTTTCCGAACACCTAAAAACAATGTCCCCGTTGCAAAATCTACAATTTCGTGCCAAAATGTCCAATTTAATATTGAGTATTCTAACGAATTCTTTATCAGATAATAAACTTGTAACACAAGGTAATAAAGATCAATTAAAAACTTTGGTTGATGTTGCCCATCTAGATAGTAATTTCCTGATCAGCTTTTGGCCCTATATGAAATTGATGACTCAAGAGCAGAACTTAAAATTTCGTTGCCAAATCACCGATCTGATTCTAAATATTTTGTCTACGCCTCCCTGCTCTAATTAACCAGTACTTAGTTGGTAAATGTAGAATTTAAGTATTTTTATAACATCGGGGTGAAGATGTTTTTTTGTTAATAAATCAAATTTTTTTAAAAATCCAAAAAAAAGTTTGTGACTTTTATTATGGTTTTTATTTAGGCTATAGACTAGACAATAGACGAGACTATAGACTAGACCATAGACTAGACAATAGACTGTAGACTAGACTATAAACGAGACTATAGACTAGACTATAAACTAGACTACAGATTTGACTATAGACTAGACTATAGACTAGACTATAGACTAGACTATAGACTAGACTATAGACTAGGCTATAGACTAGACTATAGATAGACTATAGACGCTATAGACTAGACTATAGACCAGACTATAGACTAGACTATAGACCAGACTATAGACTAGACTATAGACTAGACTATAAACTAGACTACAGATTTGACTATAGACTAGACTATAGACTAGACTATAGACTAGACTATAGACTAGGCTATAGACTAGACCATAGACTAAACTATAGACTAGACTATAGACTAAACTATAGACTAGACTCTAAACTATAGACTAGACTTTAGACTAGACTATAGACTAGACTATAGACTAGACTATAGACTAGACTATAGACTAGACTATAGACTAGACTATAGACTAGACTATAGACTAGACTATAGACTAGACTATAGACTAGACTATAGACTAGACTATAGACTAGACTATAGACTAGACTATAGACTAGACTATAGACTAGACTATAGACTAGACTATAGACTAGACTATAGACTAGACTATAGACTAGACTATAGACTAGACTATAGACTATAGACTAGACTATAGACTAGACTATAGACTAGACTATAGACTAGACTATAGTCTGGTCTATAGTCTAGTCTATAGTCTGGTCTAAAGTCTAGTCTATAGTCTAGACTAGACTATAGACTAGACTATAGTCTAGACTAGACTATAGACTGGACTAGACTATAGACTAGACTATAGACTAGACTATAGACTAGACTATAGACTAGACTATAGACTAGACTATAGACTAGACTATAGACTAGGCTATAGACTAGACTATAGACTAGACTATAGACTAGACTATAGACTAGACTATAGACTAGACTATAGACTAGACTATAGACTAGACTATAGACTAGACTATAGACTAGACTATAGACTAGACTATAGACTAGACTATAGTCTAGAATATAGACTACCCTATAGATTAGACTATAGACTAGACTATAGACTAGACTATAGACTACACTATAGATTCGGCTATAGACTGGTCTATTTAAGTACTGAATTTTCATGCCTGTTACAAAAGGTTTTCGCAGTTGCATGAAATTTGAAAAGGGTTTGAGTAAATATTAATTCGAAAAAAGTCTTTATAGAATTTTTTTCCATAGACTATTTTCAGTGTAGAGAATGAAAAATAACAGAAAATAAAAGATGTGTTGCTCTGTTACAGCGTAACTTCTGCTTATGTTCTCTCTGTTGTTCACTCATTCGTTTTTTCGTTAACGTGTGTGTACTTGTTTTTATGCCTCTGTATTTGAAGGTGATTATTCGTTCGTTATATTTCAACGAAAATTATAACTTAGTTGTGCTAGAACCATTAAACACAATGGACAAGCTACGTTTAATCGCTGAAGTTCGCAAGAGACCCGTATTATGGGATAATCAACGTTTAGATAGATCACGTTATGAAAGAGCAAACAAATGGAAAGATGTTGCCAGTAGCATGGGTGGGAATGGTAATTTACCTGATGATAATCAATAGATTAGTTAAAAACTGTTTTATAACTTTCGTATACAGTTTCAGTGACGGCCTGTAAAAATACATGGAAACATTTGCGAGCTGTTATCGTGTGGGTAAAAATCGTTCTATGCATCGTATATGTGCGGATAAAGCTAACGGTACATATGACCCTACTAAAAGGAATTACAACAACACGTGGGAGTATTCCAAGGAAATGAACTTTCTCGAAAAGGTTATGAATGCGAATAGAACATTTGAAATGAAATTTCAAGACGATTCAGATGAAGAGGAATTACAGTGTAAGTATGTGAAATGGGCACAGAAAAAAACACCGAAAGAAATCAGGTCTAAATAAGAAATGCTATATCTTCTTATTTAGACCTGATCTAAAGATAGAAATATAAATCGATTCAGAAACACTATTAATTTTAAATCGAAATACACACATATCTCTATTTTCACTTGAACTTTTAAAACGGATTAAATCATTTAAAAAGTTAAAATTTTCGCATAGTGTTATCGATGAGATGTACAAGCTCAAAACAACAGGAAAGTGAAGCTACATCATCTCCAAGTGATAATGAAGATGATAATGTACACATAAAAATTGAGTCAGATAATGAAATCGATATAGATGATGAAGAATTTTTATCTATACCTATTGAACAAAATAATAGCTTACCTGACGAAGCCTCAACACAATTCCTTAACAATCTCGATTATAATTTTTTGATTAGTTTTACCGCACAGATGAAATTAATGACCCCATTGCAAAATCTACAGTTTTCGTGGCCAGATGACGGATTTGATATTAAATATTCTGCAGGCTTCTCATTCGGCTAATGACTCACAAGCGCTCGACAATAATATGCATTTAAAAGGTTTTGTTGATATCGGCGATCTTGATCGTAATTTTTTGATCAGCTTTATGTCCTATATGAAAATGTTGACTCCATTGCAAAATTTACAATTACGAGCTAAAATATCTGAAATAATGTTAAATATTTTGTCAAACAATTGAAATTATATAAATGTAGTTTTAACTTTACAATAAATTATAAATATATTTTTAATAAAATCATAAAAAAATTGCGTTTTGCTCTAGTATATTTTAACGGTGGTTAACAAGCTCGACAGTCTAGTCTATAGTGTAGTCTATAGTCTAGTCTATAGCCTAGTCTATAGTACAGTCTATAGTCTAGTCTACAGTCTAGTCATTAGTCGAGTCTATAGTCGAGTCTGTAGTCTAGTCTATAGTCTAGTCTTTAGATAGTCTAATTTATAGCCTAGATTATAGTCTAAAGTCTAGTCTATAGTCTAGTCTATAGTCTAGTCTATAGTGTAGTCTATAGTGTAGTCTAGTCTATAGTCTAGTCTATAGTCTAGTCTATAGTCTAGTCTATAGTCTAATCTATAGTCTAGTCTATAGTCAAGTCTACAGTCTAGTCTATAGTCTAGGACTATAGTCTATTCTATAGTCTAGTCTATAGTCTAGTCTATAGTCTAGTCTATAGTCTAGTCTATAGTATAGTCTATAGTCTAGTCTGGTCTAGTTTAGTCTAGTCTATACTCTATAGTCTATATTCTTTAGTCTAGTCTATAGTCTAGTCTATAATCTGGTCTATAGTCTAGTCTATAGTCTTGTCTATAGTCTTGTCTGTAGTCTGGTCTATAGTCTAGTCTATAGTCTAGTCTATAGTCTAGTCTATAGTATAGTCTATAGTATAGTCTATAGTCTAGTCTATGTCTAGTCTGTAGTCTAGTCTATAGTCTAGTCTATAAGTCTAGTCTATAGTCTAGTCTATAGTCTCGTCTATAGTCTAGTCTATAGTCTAGTCTATAGTCTAGTCTATAGTCTAGTCTATAGTCTAGTCTATAGTCTAGTCTATAGTCTAGTCTATAGTCTAGTCTATAGTCTAGTCTATAGTCTAGTCTATAGTCTAGTCTATAGTCTAGTCTATAGTCTAGTCTATAGTCTAGTCTATAGTCTAGTCTATAGTCTAGTCTATAGTCTAGTCTATAGTCTAGTCTATAGTAGTCTAGTAGTCTATAGTCTAGTCTATAGTCTAGTCTATAGTCTAGTCTATAGTCTAGTCTATAGTCTAGTCTATAGTTCTAGTCTATAGTCTAGTCTATAGTCTAGTCTATAGTCTAGTCTATAGTCTAGTCTATAGTCTAGTCTATAGTCTAGTCTATAGTCTAGTCTATAGTCTAGTCTATAGTCTAGTCTATAGTCTAGTCTATAGTCTAGTCTATAGTCTAGTCTATAGTCTAGTCTATAGTCTAGTCTATAGTCTAGTCTATAGTCTAGTCTATAGCTAGTCTATAGTCTAGTCTATAGTCTAGTCTATAGTCTAGTCTATAGTCTAGTCTATAGTCTAGTCTATAGTCTAGTCTATAGTCTAGTCTATAGTCTAGTCTATAGTCTAGTCTATAGTCTAGTCTATAGTCTAGTCTATAGTCTAGTCTATAGTCTAGTCTATAGTCTAGTCTATAGTCTAGTCTATAGTCTAGTCTATAGTGTAGTCTATAGTGTAGTCTATAGTGTAGTCTATAGTCTAGTCTATAGTCTAGTCTATAGTCTAGTCTATAGTCTAGTCTATAGTCTAGTCTATAGTCTATTATCTAGTCTATAGTCTAGTCTATTAGTCTAGTCTATTATCTAGTCTATAGTCTAGTCTATAGTCTAGTCTATAGTCTAGTCTATAGTCTAGTCTGTCTATAGTCTAGTCTTAGTCTAGTCTATAGTCTAGTCTATAGTCTAGTCTATAGTCTAGTCTATAGTCTAGTCTATAGTCTAGTCTATAGTGTAGTCTATAGGCTAGTCTATAGTCTAGTCTATAGTCTAGTCTATAGTCTAGTCTATAGTCTAGTCTATAGTCTAGTCTATAGTCTAGTCTTTAGTCTAGTCTATAGTCTAGTCTATAGTCTAGTCTATAGTCTAGTCTATAGTCTAGTCTATAGTCTAGTCTACAGTCTAGTCTATAGTCTAGTCTACAGTCTAGTCTAGTCTAGTCTACAGTCTAGTCTATAGTTCTAGTCTATAGTCTAGTCTATAGTCTAGTCTATAGTCTAGTGGTATAGTCTAGTCTACAGTCTACTCTATAGCTTAGTTTATAGTCTAGTCTATAGTCTAGTCTGTAGTCTAGTCTATAGTCTAGTCTATAGTCTAGTCTAGACTATAGACTAGTCTAGTCTACAGTCTAGTCTATAGTCTAGTCTATAGTCTAGTCTATAGTCTAGTCTATAGTCTAGTGTATAGTCTAGTCTACAGTCTACTCTATAGCTTAGTTTATAGTCTAGTCTGTAGTCTAGTCTATAGTCTAGTCTATAGTCTAGTCTAGACTATAGACTAGTCTAGTCTATAGTCTAGTATATAGTTTAGTCTATAGTCTAGTCTATAGTCTTGTCTATAGTCTAGTATATAGTCTAGTCTATAGTCTAGTCTATAGTCTAGTCTATAGTCTAGTCTATAGTCTAGTCTATAGTCTAGTCTATAGTCTAGTCTATAGTCTAGTCTATAGTCTACTCTATAGTCTGTCTATAGTCTAGTCTACAGTCTAGTCTATACTCTAGTCTATAGTCTAGTCTACAGTCTAGTCTACAGTCTAGTCTATAGCTTAGTTTATAGTC